GTGTGTGAAGGTGACCACAAGACCATTGCGAAAGCCATAAAAGACAGAGTTTCTCTAATCAATCTTAAGAGGGCTCAGCGGAAGCAGGTATGATCGTAGCCCATCTACTGTTATGGTCACTGTTTACGTGCATGGTTTTGTTAGTTTTTTGTTTTTGTTTTTGTTTTTTTGTTTTTTTAATCTCAGCCACATGATCTAGGTGATATGCTTTAGTGTTTTCAAGGTGGGGTTCTTCTGGGTGATTTTATGTGTTCTCTCCTGTCTTTAAAGGTCAGAGAAGATCAGGAGAAGAGAAGGCTTGAAGAAGAACAGCAATCACAGCAAACAGGCCAACAGTCTGGCATGGAGGCGACTCAGTCACAGCCCGTTTCACAGCATGCATCTTACATGCCTCCACAGCCTAACCAACACAGCTCACAGATGTCTGTCCAACCGGCAGCTCAACAGGGCCTTCAGACGTCTAACTACAACACTCCTCAATCGCAGGGCGTTTCTTATGTTCCCCAGACAACTGGGCAAATCCCAGTACAGAATCAGAGCTTAGCTGCTGTTCAGCCAGAGTCCGAAGAGCCAGAGAGTGACCAGCAGCTGCAGCACACTGGAGGTGGTATGTATCAAAGTAACAACACTTAACACTTCAGTGTATTGAAAAGAAATATTGAGTTTAAAAACGGAGTCAAGCAAGCCCCAGTTTTTTTGTTTAGCTAAAAATAAAAGAGGAATAATAACCAGTTTGGTTTTAGTTAGTACCCCACTTGCGCTCCTGCGTCCTCATGACTCCATGCAGTCACACCTTGTTGCACCAGTCCCCTGCTGCAGAGCCTATACATAACCATAATTTCACAGCATACCTAGCAATGTTTTTTTTCAGGAGCTCAGAATAGTATTGTATTTCCCCTGTGCATGCACTACGTATACTAGTTGTTGTACTTTTTTTTTTTTTGCCTGTCCCATTTGGTTCTTTAGCTGTCAGAATTGTTGTCTGAAGACCAACAAGGATACCCAATGGATTTACTTTGCCAAATGGATCATCACGGCCTTGCCGTATTGGTCCATTTGATCAACCTTTGTTGTTATTGTTTATTTTATTTTATTTTCAGTTGTTACAGACGGGACAGACATGACTGATAGGATAGGAAAAGGAAGTTGTTGTACTTAAATTAATTTATTAAAACATATTCTGAATCTGTTGTTTAAGGGAAAATGGCTAAAACATTGTTACTTTAAATAATTCTACAATCTTGAGTCTTCATAAATTAACCTTTTTGTCCCTTTTTCACAGCTTGGGACATGGGAGATAGACTAGCAGGTTCCTCTGTTGTTACTGAGGCTCAGCCCTCTCAGTCTGGAGTATCCTACAGCTCTTCCACTAGTCAGACACAGAGTGATCCAATTCAGCAACAGCAGCTGGCAGTGGTGAGACATTAGTGCATAATAATGTGTGTTGTGGGTGATTTTGTTTGGGAATATTGTCTGTATTTTAAACCAAATGTTTAAGTTGCAGATTGGGGTTCTATTTATTGATTATCTATTTTTCCCATATCCCAAATGGCCCTTTTTGTTGTTGTTGTTGTTGTTGTTGTTATTGTTGCCCTTACCCCTGCTGAATGTACGTTTCCCCGTTACATGTAGACAGCCGTCACATGGCCTACCTGCAGTGTGTCTAGAACTCACATGCATGTGTTCATGATTCAGTTTAGGGTCCTAGGCTTTTCTAATTTTTAGAACATGTGCTTTTATCTGTTGCAGGGTGGTCAGTCTGAAGTTGTTCCTGTTCCAAATGCCAACCAGTCCGTCCCAGTGACACCTGCACAGGTATATATCTATTAGTGTATGTCTAAATGTCTTTGAAGAGTAACTTCACACTACATGAAAACTTTTGCTTCACTGACATCCTCCATAAAAGCAAAGCTTGTGTTAATATCAGGTTCTGCATAACGCCCTGGATACACTTCAGTATCACACCTGCAAATCTGAACTTCAACCTGTCAGAGTCAGCAAAAACAAGATACTCACTCACATTGTGTGAAGTTAAACTTTAAAGCCTATATTCTTCGGTTGGGTGGCTGCGAAAGCAGAGCTGAGAGTTTCCTGGCCTGATCTTTTTTTTTTTCCTTTACGTCTCTTTTCTTTTCTCGGGTTTTCTACTCTTACACTTTGCTATGTTTTGTTTCTTATAGTATGGAGTTTACTACCAATCATCGCTCCCCCCTCAGGTAGATGAATACAATACACCCACAGTATTTCAGACAACTTGTTGTGGAAAACAAAATGCACTTATTATCAGTACTGGTCTGTACGCCAGGCTCTGGTAGGGTTGATGTAGCGGGTTTTTAGAGAAAAAATAATGCGAAATAAAAGACCTTTAACATGTCTGCAAAACTCACTTTAGAGTTGAATTTTTAGTGGTGGCAAATAATACACCTGATTCAACTAACCTGATTCATACAGCTATGTTACTTAGCAGGTAAGTACAAGTCACTCAGCAAAAGAGCCCATAGGAAATCTCTGAAAGGTTTAGATTGTAGAGAAACCAGACTTTCAGGAAGTTGCCTTAATGCCAGTCTGATGGTATCAGCTTTTATCTCAACCTACCTTTTTAAATCCTGTTTCTTCCCCTGTATCATTATGTGATCTGTTCATTTAGATTCCCTCTCAACAATCGACAATGGCCCCATCTTCTCACCCGCAGCAGCAGTCAGAGAGCACCAGTGCTCCACAGAGCTCTCTACAATCACAGGCACAGACAGGAGCTCAGCATTTACAGGTGATTTTTCCCTCCCTTGCTGCTCTTTAACATGCAGCAGCTCACTTATTTTAAGACGCATTCTAACTTGTCCTGTTTTGCTTCACCAAACTATAGTATAAATGTGATTTTGTCCATTTTTTTATGTCTTTTTCTTTCTTTTTTTTTCTTGTGCCTTTTCTTTCTTCTCTCTGAATGCTCTAATTACCACAACTGCCCCCATTTCTTCTCCTTTGCATGTTTCTTATTTTGCATGACTCTTAGTCTTGGCCCAATGATCCAAGTACTCCTACCCTGTCTCCACCACTCAACGCAGAGCACCTATACTTCCTCTATCAGGCCTCATGCCTTTCTGTTGTGCAGGTACTCTGACTTGTGTATGCTGATGTTTCTTGGTCAGGCATGAACCATTTGGTTCAGACCTGGTTCCTGTTCCTTTAAATGTTTTGTGTCCATTTTCATTTTTCAAAAGTATTTATTTATTTATTTTTGTTGTTGTTGTAAATTCATGTAGTTTCTGCCATAGTATCAGTTAACATTATCTTAAGTAGGGTGTTGCTTAATGAAGCACCACAACGTTTGTCTCCATCACCAAATCAAGAACAAATGTAAATAACACAATACAACTTAAGATTAAGGTTCTGAAAGCTAAAATGCTTTTATGAATCTCTAAATCTTCCATGAAAGCAGTACAGGGGTATACAGTAATCAATGAAAAACTTTGATTGGTCCAAAATGGTATTGTGACTATTTCCAGGGCTGGAAGTAAGGCTGTGTGATATGACCAAAATCTCATATCCCAATATAAGACATTTCTCAACCCAATAATGATATATAACACAAAATAGTGCATTTTCTGTAAATTGTGTGAATCTCGGGGAACTCGACTTGTGTGAAGTGTTTTCAGCTGGGCGTCGTGTGCCTGGAGTTAAGTGTTTTGACCAATGCATGAAACTATATAGTTTATTTTGAGCACCTGATGGCTCTTTTTTGCTTCTCATCTGTAAACTCTCTCCATACTCTTTCACATGATTCTTGAATAGGTGGTAGAAGAGAGAGAGAAAAAATGGCCGTAAACAGTGTATTTTGAGACACCATGAAACAAACAATGGAGTGTAATATGAAATGATAAATGTTTTCATATCGTCATCCGATATATTTCCTCATATCACACAGCCCTAGCTGTAAGTGGGATTAAACATAATTAATATCCATATAAACACAGCAGTGACAGAGGGCTACATTCAGATAGGAGCTGAAATAAAAGCTCCATATCACAGCAGTATTTACACTCCACCTGAAAGCTAAAAAATGGAGTCTCTTGCAACTGCCAGTTGCATGTTTCACCAGATTAAAGAGCTCCATCTAGTGGATGATATGATTTTTAAATTGGTGTACAGTTGATGCTGTGTAACCCCTTCAAAATTGTATTGTGCCAAACAGCACTAGAACCTGCTTTTGAGGTGAAGTGTTTGATTTCTTAATGTTTCCTGTGTGTCAGGCTCCTGTGAGTGTTCCTCAGTCCACACCAGTGGAGCAGCCAGTGGGATCTTCTTCCCTAGCACCACCGTCTGTAGATAGGTAAGATGCAAGTTATTTTTAAAAGTCTGGTTTTCTCAGCAATGCGCAGCTTGTAAAACCTTCCTTTTGTGGATTTGTGTGTTTTAGCTGTCCGTCAGATGCAGCTTCAGGTCTTAGTGATGGCAATGATGGTTCTACATCAGGAGGCCGCCATGAGGGCCGTTCGCTGAAGCGGCAACAGCGGCGATCTGTACGCAGTCGCTCTCGCCATGAGAAGACGGCAAAGGCCAAGCTAAATGTTCTTAGTGTAAGAATTTTAACTAATGAGAATGTTTATATTCTTTTTTTAAGCTCTTAGTCACTGAACAGTTTTAATATAAGTAAATGTTTCACAGATCTCTAATATGGGAGACAGAGTAGCAGAGTGCCAGCTGGAAACACACAACAGGAAGATGGTGACCTTCAGATTTGATCTTGATGGAGATAATCCAGAAGAAATTGCCCAGATTATGGTAGTAGTGCTTCTTTAGTTGTCACTCAAAAGATATTCACATAGTTTATTCAGAGCTATTGATCTTTTCCGTTTTCTTTTCCAGGTTGAAAGTGAGTTCATCTTGGAGACTGAGCGAGAATCATTCATTGACCATATCCGTGAGGTCATAGAAATGGCTGATGAGAAAGGAGAGCGCATGAAGGACAGCTTTCCTCAGGTATTTGTTCACTACACGTCTCCTGTTAGGTGAATAACTATGACTGCCTGCGAACCCTCACTATGATTCTTTCTCTTTGCAGATGAGCGACCTTCAACAACAACCTGAGTTGTCTGTTCCCATGCTACCAGGTAAGCAAACGTGTCAGAAATATAGCTTTGTTCAATTCTTTTTTTCGTTTTTGACTTTACACTCATATTTGGACCCCCCCCCCCAGGTATTTCCCCCAGCACTACAGCCCAGGTGGTGCATTCAGCAGGACGTAGGTTTATCGTCAGCCCAGTGCCAGAGTCTCGACTCAGAGAACAGTTCTTTGGAGGCGCTTCAACCAATACCTCAGTTGGAGAAGAGCCTGCTACAGGTGAAAGGAGTTTATTTATCTATTTGTAGCTTTCGATTTAAATGTCTTTTTTGTTTACAATTCATCCTCTTTTTTCTTCTTCTTCTTCTTCTTCTTCTTCTTCTTTTTTTTATAGCTCCTTTGGTGTCATTGGGCCTGTCTCTCTCTGCTCCATCAGCAACTCTCCAGCAGGCCTTTAATGAAGTAAAGCAGACTCGTATTCAGAAAGGCAAAACATTTGATGCCTCTGCTGCTGAGCAAGAATCAGTCACTCCCCACTCCGAGGCTGTCCCAAGCTCTAACAATATCACGACTTCTGTCGAGTCTGTAGCTTCCACCTCAACTCCCACATTTCCTTCTCTGAAGTCTGGTGCAGCATCCTCGCCACCTTCGTCAGCTTCACCTGGGAGGGTTTCCCCTACACCAGTGTCTGTGCCACCCCAAACTGCTGGGAGTGACTGCAGTCCACCACCTCAGTCCTCCCATGAAACGACCCCTTCACAGTATCCAATAGCTGTTAACGTCCCTCCTTCCTCTGTTTCTCCTCCATCTACACAGCCCTCTGTCCCTGCAGTAACTGGATCTCAGCTGGGCAATAGTTCTATCTCCTCTGGCTCATCCAGTACTACTGGAAGTGTTCCTGCACCAGAGCAGCAGCCATTTAATAGTGCTGTTGCATGTTCTCAGCCGGTGAATTCATCCAACCATGCACCACAGAATACAGCCACCCAGCCCCCACTCCCCACCAACCAAAGCCAAGCCCAGCAGCAGCCAGTGGAGTCAGAAGGGGCTGAGATTCAGACAAAGACCGCTGGCAGAGATGACATCCATGCCCTTGAGCAGAAGCTTCGGTCTCTTTTTAAAGACCAGAGCTCTGCCTCTTCAGCACTGGATTCCAGTCAGAATGCAGGGACCTCCTCTCCTCCCACTGGGACTTCTTCCCCTCCACCCGGACCTGCCCCTGTGCCCCCTTCTAATCTTCCCCTCACCTCTGGGGCACAAAGTGTTCTGGGCCCGACAACCACTCCAGGGCAGATTGTAACTGTGGCAGGACATGCCCAGACTCCTCCAACGAAGCCCAGAGCACAGGTTAATGAATAATACATCATCCTAAAATAAATCACTCACTGTTTTATTCTGATGATGTGTCATAACAACTATGTTTTAATTTTCCATGCTGACATGCAGACTTTGCCTGGAGGTTTTGACCAAATTTCTACAGCTTCATCTGATGTGCCCCCATTTCCTGGACCAAATCAGGTTAGGGCTACATTTTCTCTGCAATGATTCCTGTGCCATTAGCTCTGTTGATTTATTTTTTGTTTGTTTTTTTTTTAAACTAGCATAGGGTACTGATGTACTACTTAACGTGTTCCTTATATCTTTTATCCAACCACAGCAACCCCTGGATAATTTGGATGCCCAGTTGAGAAGAGCTTTAAGTCCAGAGACGGTTCAGGAAGGCAATGGTGTCATTGTAGGACGTTTCCAAGTAAGTTTTAGTTCCAGCTTAAATTAATATGCCTAATTCATTCTTAGAAGCTTAAATCCCATAAAACATCAAGCTCAGTTTATTAAAATGATCTCTTCCTTCATACTCAGGTCTCTATTGCTCCTGATGGTGCAACCAGCAGTGCTCAAGATCCATCCAGTGTCGTTTCATCCTCTTCCCAGACGCCGTCCTCAACGTCCTCTTCTTCTTCTTCCACCTCTTCCTCTCCCTCCAGTCCAGAAAATACCTTTCACCGATCAACTCCTCTGCCTAAAGGACTCAATGAAGTTAATGCTGTCGATGGGGGCTCTTCTGTTTCTGAGGGTCAGCCCACCACTATTGGGCGCTTCATAGTGTCCACGAGCACCAGTGCGACATCTGAGCCAACCGCTGCCACTGGCTCTAAAGTGGGACGATTTTCAGTCACAGGTGTGCAGCAGGTTCACAAAAAGTGTTAAATTAAGTAATAAATTATTTAACTACTGATGTTAATAACCCGTTATTTTAATCACACCAATTGATAATGAGATTAACCTATTTATAACACAGTAATGACCTTTTATTTTTCATGTATTTATTTATTTATTTATTTTTTAACCCAGTGACCCCTGGTCCAGCAGCTAGCTCCAGTCCAACACATGACTGCAGCGTGCAGAATGGACCATCATCCTCAACTTCTGATTCTCATGTCACACATCCACATTATAGTAGTGGGAATGATGATGACTCGGAGACTGATGATGAAGCCTTGCAAAAAGAAATCAGTCGTCTGAGGGAGAAGTATGTTACATATTTGTTGTCCTGTCTTATGTAAACTTTGCTTCACAGCTCAGGGGAAATTTGGCTTTAATTTTCTGTCTCTCCTCAGACACATGATGGAAATTCAGGCCTTGCAGGCTCGTCAGAAAGAGGAGATAGAGGGCCTGTTCACTCGCATGGGAAAAACTCCTCCTCCTTCTGTGCTCTCCCCTGCTGTGGCCATGCCCGGAGGACGACGAAGGCTAAAAAGCAAAAGTCACAAATCTGCTCGCAGTAGTGGACAGCCCAGCCCTGTACACTCAGGTAATATGATACACAATCTGTTTCTTGTTATGCGTCCTTTGTTTTTTCTTTTTCTTTTTTTTTGTGTATGTCAGTGTTTTCTTGTTTAAATATTGATTTTAATCTGTATCGTGATCTTCAGCTCAGAGCCAAGGTTCAGAGTCCCCTCCAAAGCAAAGTTCAGCCTCAGTAACAGAGACCTCAGAAATTGCAGCAGAGTCTGTAACACGGTCACAGCTCACATCCTCTCCATCCATGCCAAGTCTCAGCAATTGCTCCACAGGTATGTGCAACTCCAGCGTTTAACAGTCAGCTGCTTCATTTGAATTTTATGATGTAAACTGTATTTTCTAGTGCACATCTGATGCATCTTGTCTATATATTTAGGATCAAGTGGGATCAGCTCCACAAATGGTTCAGGACACTTGCAGGCTGAGTGTTCTACCCTGTCCCAGGCCACTGGAACCCCTCCTGCTGGCTCTAACACCCAGAAGGGTAAGGGGACCTTCACTGACGACCTGCACCAACTGGTGGATAACTGGGCCAGGGATGCCATCAGCCAATCCCAGGGGAAGAGAGGCCCTAAAACTGGAGCACAGGGAGGGTTGGGACTTGATGTAAGCATTTGGTATTCTTTGAATATTTAAAAAAAAAAAAGAAAGTATTATTTCATGACTGTGTTTTAATGTTTACTTTTTTTTTTAGTACCAATCGTGCATATTGAACAATAACAATTTTTCTTTAACAATGCAGATCATCCCTCCAGCCAACATTGGCCGTAAATTCTCAGCTCCAGGCTATCTCGGCCCACCACATTCCAACACCACATCCACTCACCTCCCCAACCCAACCAATCCCTCTGCTTCTTTGGGTCCTCGCAAAGGCTCCCTGGGTCCAGTTGCCCAGGGGTACGGATATACTTCAGTCTCGTACAGTGCTCCTCAGTGGGCAGGACCCACACCCACATGCCAGATGGTTAACCCGGGACAGCTACAAACACAGTACCAACCATCTACAGCAACTCCAGTATCTCTGCACCAAGGTTATCAAGTGGGAACTACATCAGCCCCCCAGAAATCAGTCAACCCTGGAGGGTCCAACCTGAGGCCTACGTAACCCAGTCTGAGCCCTGATTGAGGCTGAGATGAAGGGCCACACAGGGCAGAGGGGACCAGACAGTTGTAGACTGAGATCACAGCCTCTCTTTGTGGCTTACTGGCTAACTGGCTTGGTATTGTGCATTTTATTTTTAACTTTTATCATTGTGTATTTTTTTTTTTCTTTAATAGCTGACCTGTGTCGTTCAAGTCCTCTCAGGCAGAACAAAGTCTGTCTGGCAATTGGAGGGAAAGTGCAATAGACACCCACAGCACAAAAAGTCTCACACTTATCCTGCCATTAGCTGTGGAAACGAGCTGTGACGTATTGGCCCAAAGGCACAACGAACAGCAGCCAAAGATGTTGCTGGAGAGCCGATCTTTGAAGGGGAGAAGTTGGTGAGGGATTGTGGTTCATATCCTTATTTGTCTGGACTTTAAGCTGAGCTGGGACTTAAGATTGTTCCAGTAGTCCACCACAGAAATCTGTGTGCACACACACAGACTATACATCGAACTGGTTGGGATTGGTTTGGAGGGTAGGTTAAGTGGTCTGTTAAGGAGGAGGAGAGAATGTGAGTGTACAGAGAGTGGGATAGTTGGTTTGTCCCTGATGGATAAGTACTGTGAATGATGCTTAGGAGAAGAAAGACTTGGAAAGTTAGGAGTGTGATGGAGGGTAGCAGTATGAATACATCCCAATAAAAATGCAATAATAGCATAATCGACAAACTGCCCCTTGTAACTGTGGCCTTAATCTAAAAGAAACACATTGGCTTTGTACATAGACATTTCTTCACTGGGTTATGATTCTATGTTAAACATATTTATGTCTCTGTGAAAGTCTGGTGTCGTGTGACTCGAGTTGTCTATCATACAGATTTCTTATACTGATTTATTCATGCGAGTAGATCTGCGAGATAATAACACGTGGTCCTGATGTTGACCACCATTCAGAGAATTGAAGAGGTGATGCTGCTGTAGATCACAATCTGAGTATTAGGTGTTAGCAGGGTGACCCCCCCCCCCCCCCCTTTTTTTTTTTCTTTCGTTTTTTCGGTAAGGGACACATTAAACCACTTCACTTAGTGCTTAGCTGTGAGATATGTGCAGTTCCTAATCTGCTTATCATATCATACAAAGTAAGAGTTTTGTCAGGATAGTATTTGAGGAGGGTTTCATACTCTTGAGGGGAGCGAGACCACTTCTTGATCCATTTTTCTTTTCTTAGATGGTGCACAGTACATGTATAAACAGCTTGTTACTGAACTCATACGTCCCAAGATATTTTTACCCATAACATCTAGCTGTGGCCTCTGAAATCACAAGTGTCTGGGGTTCTCTCTTTCTGTGGTCTGTTTTTTGTATGCGTATATTTAATAAACAACAACGTTCTTTATGGACTTGTATTCAGCCATCAGATTTTGATGTTGTTTCACTGTAATTATTATTAAAGGTTGTTAAACAACATGTAAAGGAATATTAAAAAAAAGTGCAATTGCAGGGTTGTTATTGGTATCATACTCACCATGCAGGAATAATCCTGCAGTTTATTAAGCTTGTCTCTTTATGACTGCCCTGCCCCCCTCCTTTTTTTTGGCTTTTTTTTTCTTCTTTTTTCTTATTGTAAATATAATTGTGAGGTAAATGCTTTCAGTTTGCTCTCACTAGAGTATGTTCGTTGTGACCCATTCTTAATGCACATGCACTCTAACCTGTAAACATGAGGAACACTTTAGTGCCTTGCATCCTCACTAATGAGAAGTTCCAGATCCATCCAGTCCTGTAGCTGTGACTGTATTACAGAAAACCAGTTTACTAAACCAGTATACAGTTTAAACACCACCAGATGCAGCCAGCTCAGAGCATGCAAAACTGAGGTAGGTGCCGCATGCAGGACAAAGAGCACACTTGGTAAAGTGGACAGTTTCTTTCCTCTCTACAGTTACCTTTGTGTTGGTTGTTCGATCAGCTGTGTATTTGTATTTGGCACACGTGTACGCGGGTTTGGACGGTATTTGCTTTTCCAGATTTATCATTAAACCTTTTCATAGAAGAACTTGTTTGGGCAGTGAGCGAGCTGCGCAAAGGTTTGAAATTCTGTCGCGCTAACCCGACTTCTATCTCACCACCTCACGAGTGCCATGCTGTCATCGTGATTTTTGGTTTTTTTGCCTGCTTGTAGATTGAATGAATAGTTGAACTTCTCTAGAGAAAAAAATAAGTTACTGCAATGCAGAATATGCAATGTTCAAAGTTTTGTAGGGACTGAGGGGTATTGGACACATTTGCATGCTGATGAGGGTTGTTACAGATTTCAATGTTTTTGATATTGGATTATTTGTTTTGTTTTTTTTATTATTTGCCTTTTTATGAGTGTTGATCTGCTCAATTGCTATTCATTAATATCACAGGCACAACTTCAGTATGAGACTATCAGCGTATGAGTTCTGCATGCCGACTTTACTGGTGTTTAATCTTACAAATGGCAGCCAGTGCACCACTGTACAGCACAACCTCCCCACAAGAAGTTAACATCCATATGCTACTCTGCTATATCAGTAATTATCACAGATCTCTACAGTACTGTTTGAGCCTACTGACACGCAGTTATACTCTTATTTCTGATCCCTCCTTACTGACTTCCTGTGATCCAGTGTCTGTTTTGTGTATGTTTTTCACATTGTACAAAACTTAAAAAAAATAAAAGAAATCAGGTAAAAGGCACGTTTATGTGTGTTTGTCAAAAATTAGATCATGGTTAGTTTTTGTTATGTACAGGTTTGATGATTTTGTTTTGTTTTTAAACAAAGTCATAATTTTTCAACATGAACAAAAGGCTACATTCTAAAGATAATTAAGAAGTTATGTATCAAAAGTAATTTATTTGTTTCAACTGAAATTAAATTTCACTTTTTCAAATAAATCTGGCAGGATTCCCAGTTTGGTTATGTTTTTATTTTTTAACAAAATCAGAAAACATGTATCCAGATGTATATAAAGCAGCAATTCTTTACAATTTCAAATGTACAAAGTGAAGTAAAAGCAAAATAGTGGCTGGATGTCAGGTGTCCAGCCTGCGTTTTTTCATAAACTGTCCTTGTCTGTACGGACTCGAGGCTTCACCTGAAAAGTGGAGAAGTAGTAGTGAGTTTCAGACAGAATTTAGCACTGAAGCTCATTCACTGACTGATCTGACTCACCTGGTCTGCCCTGATACTGAGCCTGCTCCTGTCCTCTGCTGTTCGGCGGGGCCTCTGGTCGCCTGTCTGCGGTCCTCTGAGGGGTTTTACTGCGCGTCTGCATCTGATGATTCCCAGGCGTACTGGGCCGGGTTCCTCTGGGTGAAGGGGCAGCCGCAGGGACATCCAGATCCTCAATCCCATAGAGAGTGAAATCCCAGAGCTCAGGGTCATCTGCACAGCAAGACCAACTGGAAATGAGATGCAGGCCTCCTCATCACACAGTCCAAGTATGTGGAGCCTTTACAGCACCTGCTAAATACACGTCTCTGCTGCTGGTGGACTTCCTGAGTTCAGCTTCAGCACCTGCGAAGATAGGAACCCCTTTATGACAGAAAGAGGGGGAAAAAAAGGATGTCTCAAACTGTAAGAGCCAAACCAACCTGCAAGACATGCTAAACTATTTTTGTGAGATTATTTTGTCAACTTTTTCTTCCATCTCAGAGTAGAAATCTACCCCAAACCTCAGTGTTGCTGTATTACTTTTAATCTCTCCCCTGTAATAAAGTGTAAAAACTGATTAGCGCATTTTAACAGTCTGTAATCACTCTATACCAAGGTTATTAGAGTTAAAGAACTACAACTAAAAACAAACCAACTAAAACTACAAACTAGACTTAAAAAGGAAATTAAAATTCATAATCGGAAATCTTGCCTCTGACATATGCCCTCCATACAATAATCACAACATAACAATAAAAACTAAACCGATAAAAGAAAATCAAAATCTTCTCTCTACCTTCACTGGATCCTTGTCCTATAGTGACCTCTTCCTCCTCAGGTTTGGCTCGGTTTTGCTTCTGCTGCAGCTTCTTGGCCTCCATCTCTCTCCTGAACTTCTGCTGAAGCTGCTGCTGTCGGAGTTTTCTCAGCTGTTTGGGGTCTGTGTGTGTTTCTGACCTGACAACAACATCCACAGAGTTGACACCAGAGCTTAGAAGAGGACAGCAATTAGGAGATGTCGAGAAGATGAGGAAAACCAGAGCTTTTCCTACCCGGAGCTGATGTTCTCACTCTTCATGCCAGGTGCAGCGTCAGCAGCATTGGGAGTGTGAACTTCTGAATGACTCTGGTTCTGGTTGATGACTCTGGGCTCCAGCGGCGTCCTGACAGGAACCGTTGCTGATATAAGACTCTCCTCTCGGAGCAGACTGCCAAGCCGGGCCTTCTCCACCGACGGCTCACCTTCAGTACGCTTAGTCCGGGCTGGATCTAGAGGAGGTGGTGGCTTTGTGTAGAGAAGTGACAAGAATCAGCTTCCAAAAACAGACTAGACTGAAAACTAAAAATTATACTTTAAATGTTGATCCTGACCTGCTTGGGGATCTTGTTAATGGCTAGGAGGTATTCTTTATTCAGGATGCAGTTACCAAGAGCATTACCAAAACATCTAAACATAGGAAAAAGAAAAACAAACTTTTTCATGATTAAAATAAAATAAAATTTCCAGCATGTTTTTAAATATAAGTAAATTCCCATACTTCAGAGCTCTCTTCATGCCATCAGTGACTGCTTCCTTCCTCGCCTTTTCCAGTGACAGAGCTTTCGACTTTAGTCCTTCGCTGACTCCGTAGCCAACATCCTCATGAAACGATCCATCCTGGAGGAAAAGCAACATGAACTCATATGGATGGAAGAGAGGGAGGCAGAAAAATAAAAGAGGCTCATTTACCCAACCTTGAGCTGCACTTTAACAAACGCGCTGACGCCGACGTAAAACTTCCCATTGATGAGGTCTATGAAATCTGCCAACAAAAATCATCAGACTGTTAGTCTGAGCGTGAGAAGGTAAACCTGGATCCTAAGCTGTGAAACAAGTCATACCAACGTTCTGCTGGGAAATGGAGTGAGACCATCCGTTGTATCCAAACATCTCATTGGCCAAACTGATGACACGATGGCCTTCAATGTAGCATACCTGTTGAAAACAGAGTAGCTATTTGAAGTTGAAAAATGAAATTATGACATGTTATAGTGAAGAAACATCCACAGCCTGAGGTGCAGGCAGCTTTTCTAGCTGCAGAGGAAAACAAAGACCTGCCTTCTGTCCTCCTCCGGCCATTCTGGTGCTGATGTACTCTGGTCCCAGCTTCTGTCGCAGAGCATCTTGCACTGCCTGGTACTCCTCAGCTGTGTAGGTAAACTGTCCACACACCCCAGTGTCAGCAAGGCACACAGCGGAAATACCATTAATAATGAAAACAAGCTTACACTGTCGTCACATTTGTATGATCTGAGTGAAACTGGCTGGCAGTTATTATCCTCTGGAGGTGCAGGAAGCTAGGTTTACACTAATAACATAAAGAGTGATTCATCACTGATGCTTTGTGTACTTCTACTTCATTTCAGACATTAAAAAGCCACCGAGAGCACAAGCTGTTCTCGGCAGCCTTTGGGCTTCCAGGAAGGTCAGCAAATCCTTTCAACTTAATATGGAAGTGCAGGTTACAGGCGAAATCCAAGGTTGTTAATATTAAAATAAAACTGAACTAAAGGTGGAAGTTAAAAAATTATTTTAGTTACATTAAAGAAAATATAATAAAATAGAAAGACTTCTGCAAAAACAGACATGCCAGCAAGATCAACAAACTAATCCATAAGACTGGATCAATTATTGCCCAGAATCTGGAGGCATGTGAGTCAGTGAGAGACCGGAGGTCTCTGAACAAACCTCTCCATCACCGGCAACCCATCGAACACACTCCACTCCACTGCACAGACACAGGACAGCTTCTCCTCCCTCAGACTTATTAAGATTCCTCACACACTTCTGTATTATGGCTTCCTGCTCCTCTTTCATTTGTTTTCCTCTTTAAATGTATTCTTTAATTTCAATCACTGTTGTAAATATTTTTAAAATTGCACTATAAGGCAGGGGAGTCAAAAATTAGGCAAAGACTCCATTTCAGGGCATAAATTTTGGAATTTATTACGGTATTTTCATGCGTTTGAAAAAATGTTCCCACTGATTAAAATCTCCCCTACCGCCATTCATATCACATCAGAGTAACTAAGCAATAGAAAAGCATTTAAATGACAGAAAACTATTTTTTCACCATCCACTAAAGAAACCAGGCATTTTCTGTGAATTAACAAAACTTTGTTTTATTGTCTTGATGCATGCTCAATCATCCAGGTAAGTAAATCCCCAAAAGTCGATTCTGTTCATCTGGACATAGACTGAAGAAGTCACTTGGATGAGTGACGAAACGTTTCTCCCACTGAAAACGCTACGTCCAGATGAACTGAATCAACTTTTGGGGGTTTCTGTTTTATCACTACAGGAGAGTCTAGGCAGTGAGCTACTGGACCATTTTATCTAATTTTGCACATTTATTTCTTACAATTTGAGAGTCGGGCTGACAGCATCTTCTTTATGGTGTAGAAAAACTGAGACACACTGTTGAAATTGTATTTCTTCTTCTTATATTAAGATCGCCCAGTGATTAAATGTGTAGTTGAAGTCCTTTACAATAATAGAGAGGAGTGTTTCACTGCTCCAGACCTCTTTATATCAAAGTGCGCCCATGGAGAGGCGTGGCAGTGATTTTTAACAGAAGAATAGCAGCAAGAATGAAGGGTAAGGTTTAGAAGATGGTCGTGAGAACTGCTACGATGTTTAGTTTGGAGAAGGTGAACTGACAAAAAAGACAGGAGGTGTGACTGGAGCTGACAGAGGTGAAGGTGCTCAGATTTTCATTGGGGTTGACCAAGAATAGACAAGATTAGAAATGAGTACATCAGAGCGACATCTCAGGTTAGAAACGTGTGCAGAGGACGGATGGTGGATATATTGGACCAAGGATGCTGAAGAAGGAGTTTCCAGACAAAAGAGGAAAGACCATAGCGGGGGGTTTAGGGTGTATAGGACCGGAAGAACAATAAAAACTAAACTTTCAAAAGAAATTACAAACTTTGTAGAAAATACAAAACTATGATACTCTACTACATAAATAAACTCGGTCCCCTCTAGTGTCCAGTCACAGACATTCAGACTGACACACATTGTGCTTCAACCCGTTTCAATCAAAACGTTATCAGCAGTGGGACTGGAAGCAAAAACGGATGTGCTTTATCATTCTAATTTAACTCAACACACCTGTGTCCAATTTAGAATAATTAGCTTTTTTCCCCCTCAGTAAACCGTTAAATAAGTCTCATGTAGCCCACATACCTGTCCGAAGCACCTGGACGCAGAGCTGCTCGTCTCCTCACTGGACATGACTGCCGAGATGTTCCTCAGTCACTGAAAAACAGGCTAAGCTGGCTTCACTTATCGATAAAACAACACGAGATGAGCCTGTCACCCGATAGAAGTCAGTGCATACAAACTAGCCGGTTACAGTCCCTCTAAACTGCCTTCTGTGTTGAATGAGCAACAGAAAACACGAATATTATTTCAAAGAGGCAGCCATCTTTCTGAACTTCCCGCTCGGACTACCGGAGGAGGAGCTTATGGTGCCTTCACGCCTATTGGAAAA